CTCTGGGCAGTACAGAACGGATTAAAAATATGAAATCCAAGAGTGATTGCAGTAAAGCAGTATTTCTGTTAATGTCGGGATTGGAACCCAGGACTTTCCAGTCCCAATCAAATAGTCGCTGTGCCACACTGGCAGTGGTGTTGTAATGCTCCTGCAGTGTTCTTTTATCTGACCTGTCCATTGCCATCTGACTCCTTAGTGCAGTATTTCCCAGCCTGGGGGCCGTGAGCCCCGAATGGGTTGCAGAATGTTTCCTGGGAGTGTTATATGTGCTGTAGCCCTTCTTTAAGAATTTCTTCAAGGCGGGATATTAAAGTTAGCATGCATGTGTATGTATGAGAAACAGGCCCTTTGGGGGAGAGAAAGGAGCCTCTTCTCTCCGAGAAAGGATGCTTTTATTAAAAATGAGTTTTTTAAAAAATGCAAGCATAGCCGAGGGGCCCACAGCTTATTAGGAAAGGGGTTTTAGTGACTTGAAAAAAAAGGTTGGGAGCCACTGCTTTCATGTTTCGTGTCGAGCTTAACGGATGACCCGTTTCTTAGGTTGCTTTCAATAGGTTTCTGCACCGCTGGTATGAGAAACAGGCCCTTTGGGGGAGAGAAAGGAGCCTCTTCTCTCCGAGAAAGGATGCTTTTATTAAAAATGAAAGAAGTCGGGTCTCTCCCCACCCAGGCCCAAGGGGGACTGTGTCCCTTTGTTCCGATGGACCAGCCTCTGGGGCCACTGTCAAATCCAGGAGTTTGCTATGCAGAGGGATGATGATGGTGAGGATGTAGCTGTTTCCAGTGGCAATCCGTCTCCTTTGGAAGCTGGTATGCTTATGGGCAAGGCAAGCGCAGCTGGTTTTGGAGGCAAGAGAATCAAAGCATGTCTTGTGGAAAGCAAGGTCTGCTTTTCAAAGCTTCCCCCCTCTTCCGTCCCCCAAAAGCGGTCTTAACGGACCCCCCCTCCCTGGTTCTGCCCACAATGTCCGAGCTCCACAGGGGGTGGGAAGAACGGGTAGGTGAAGGGTTTCTTCCATGTCCTGTGACGTCTGTCAAAGGGAACATCATGTCCTCAGGCCCGGGATAAAAGAGAGAAGCAGAGGTGGGTGATGGTGAGGATAAGAAGAGCCCTCCCTGCCTCCCTCCCTCCCTCCCTCCCACCTCCCGAGCTGGAGGAGGGCAGGACATATTTGGCTCAGAGAGCTGGGTTTCGGGGAAAACTTGGTCGAATCAGGCCGTGTTTTTCTTTCAAGAAACGAATAAACCCAAGTCAACAAATAAATCCCATAATCCCCCCGAAGGGCTTGGAAAGATTGCTGTCTTTGACTCAGCCGCACCTGGAATTCCTCAGCCAACTCAGCCTCTGGTTCTGCTGGCTTTTTTTGGGGGGGGGGGATTTCAAAGTTGTCATTGTGATTCCCCCCCCCGTCCCCCAAAAGGGCGAGTTTTGGTTGCCTGCTTTGAGAAAACGGTGCCTCTTTGGCGGTGATGATTATTGAGAGATGAGCACGAACCTGGAATATGGTAGTTCGTGATGATTCATGGAAAAAAGTTCGGTGTTTCGTTTTGTCTCGGCCAAACGGGTTCCACGAACTGAACCACGAACCAGCCCGGTTTGTGAGTTTTTCCGGTTCGCAGTTCGGTTCGTACCTGTCTCTACCCGCTAGCGGACACAGATGTCTTTGAAGGAACTGTAAAGGCAGTCGGAGGGGGGGAGAAGCATGACTGCAGGATGTCAGCGATGCTCAGCAAGTGCTGGAGCCGATGACCCGACACGCAGAATGATGGGAGCCAAAAACATGCGCGCACGCACACACTTGCACACGGCTTTGTGGTCGCCCTTCTGCTGGGCAAAGAGGGAGCCTCCTTGTTTCACCTGCGGGACTCCTCGGCTGTCAGGCGCTTGCCCAGAAGAAGGAAACAGCTTCTCCCGGAAGCAGCATGTGAGCAGATCCAGGCAGAAGGAGGGTGGCTGTCCTGGTCCGCAGGGATAGAAGTTAAACCCAGGGTCGGGCAGTGTCTTGATTGGGATGGAGCCTAAAGTGGGTCAAAGCCGTGCAAGCTGGCAGGCTCCACCAGCAGTCCAAACGGCCATCTTTTCCCCCCTCTGATCGCACCCGTGGCCTTAGGACAAGGCACAGGGAGAGAGAAGAGGCCCGGATGGCATCTGAGGGAGCCTCCCACCCAACCTTGAGCCCATCTGCAGGATGACACTGAGCACCGCCTTCAGAGGGCCTGGAAGCACAGGGGCGCCCAGCGAGTCATTTCCAGCCGCCGGCCGGTGGGCAGCCATTCTGACCTTGCATTCTAGCTTTTGATCCCTCTCCCCCTTTTGCTTGCTGTCATTTGTTCAGGAGTTGGCTTTTTATGGCCAAGCACGAGGTGGGGCTGGGGGCTCCTTCTCACAAGAGGACTGGGATTTATAGGTCAGGACAGGAGTCCCATCTTGTCAATGCAGGAGGACCTTCAAGGGGAAATGAAACCACCCTCTGTCCGCTGTGCTGTTATTTGGGATTCCTGCCATGAGCCGGGAGTGGGACTTGATGGCCTCAAGAGGCCCCTTCCAGCTCCACCATTCTGTGTTTGACTGCCTCTTGTGGACCAGGCATGCAGATCCATGGGTATATCAGGCTAGCTGCAAAATCCCATTCGCCCAACCACCAACCGGAAGGGAGGTCTCTTTTCGTTCCGGCATTGACATGACAAGATGGCCTTTCCGAGGCTTAAAGAATCATAATTTAAAAGGAAACTAAGGCGGATGGGGAAGAGATGCTTGTTGACCAGCCTGTACCTGGGAAAGCTTTTTCCAAAATGAGAGGTGTAATTCAGATTCTGTGTTCATGGCTGCATCTTCCTCCATTTTTTTTGTGTGGTGCTTGTCACAGAAAAAGCATTTTTGCAGATTTACAGCTCCCCCTCCCTGCACGTCGTTTGGATTACGTGTCACAACAAGCCTGGCAGGAGACGAGGGTGTGATCAGACGGGGAAGTAGATGACAACTTGGACCGTTTGTGGAGCAGCTTGATGCAGTCTCTCTACGGGGAAATGCGCTCCTGCCTGACTCTGATCCCTGACATTTTGGGTCCAGCTTCTGCTTTTGGAGGCTGGGTGGAACGATTCCCCAGCAGACAGAAACCATTATTCCCCATGCTTGCTGCGGGGAGTCTGGGAGTTGTAGTTGGAAAGCAGGACGTTCCCAAGCTTTTCACAAAAGCAACACAAGATTTTTTCCCCTTCCATTGAGAACCCCCAAGGGAGTGGGGGGGCAGGACAGCCCCCCTCTTTCTGGGAGGGGGAAGAGGCCCCCCCCCTCCTGAAATGCCTGCGGGCACAGCTAATGATTAACTGTTCTTGTAAAGGGATTATCTAATCTGAAGTACAAAAGACCTGCCCGGAGTGTAAGAGAAGTGGTCTTGGGGAGGGTAATTAGCCTAGATGGGTTGAAAATGGTCCCGGGATCACATAGCAGGTCTGGATGGACATGAGATCCATTTGGGGGGTGGGGGAAAGAGAAGCCCCCTGGAAGCACTTTGAAGGGGGGGGGAAGGAAGGGGCAAAGTTGTGGAAAGAGAAAAGCCGGAGTTTTCACTGCGAGGATGCTGGCTGCAGAAGGAAGATGTGGCCGCCTCCCAATATGTGTGTGTGGCTCTTGCGCCAGAGTCTCTCCTGGCTTGCCACCCTGTGGCTCACCATGCGGGGCGTGGGTCTCTCCGCATTGTCTTGTGCAAAAGCTGAAGCTCCTTGAACTAAGCCGGCCTCTTCTATTGGGGATGCTTTTGGGTGTGATCGAGCGGTGGGGAAAGTGTGGGCCTGATTGCGCTGGAAAAGCTTGCCCAGAATGCAAATCTTCTGCCTGCCAAGGAATCACTCCAGCCCGCCCCCCGCCCAAAAAGTAGCTCTCCTGCTGAGCCAAAATGGTCCATCTTGGGTAGGAATTGAGGTCGGGCTACAGCGTGCTTCCCCGTACGTCGTGTGGCTGCTGGTCCAAAATCTGAGTTATATGCCCATGAAGTCACACTGAGTTATATGCCCATGAAGTCATTAAGAAAGAAGAATCACCATTACACCAAGTTTTAAGGTTCTTCTTTCTTTTGACCGGTTTCTCCCCATTCTGTGCCCACCACCACATACGCACATCCCAGGTTTCTTCATAACTAAAAGATCTTCTCCGTTGCTGAGGCTCCGACATCACTTTCCACCCACTCTTCCCTGGTTTCCCTTCTCGCACTGAGCGTAACTTTATTCTTCAGAATAGCGAGGTGAGAAAAGAATTTTCCTAGGTTATTACTGCAAGGTTGCTCCTATCAAGATGAAGATTATCTGAAGGTGGTTTGGTCTGGAGCGAGCAATTGAGGGCCGTTAACTTTACACAAGACCTGTTCCTCATTTATTGATTTGGCATAATCTAGGTATCTTAATTTTTAGGCTTTCTTCATTGGGGGCAGGCTGACTAAGGGACTATCACGATGAGCACACATTCTTCCAAATTTGTTACTGTGAAACAACCAACCTTAGGGCAGAGGTGGGGAATCCACAACTGGTTCTATTGTCGTACTGCTCGTACAGTTAAGAAGTTTTTCCTGGTATTCAGCCTAACTGTGGTACAGGGGACATGAGAAGGCAGGCCTGCGCACGCTGCCTTGAGGTCGTTGCAGGAAATATAATTAAGAAATAAACTACTGTGGGCATTGCTCACGTGAAATGTTGCTTCAGGAATTCGCCAATCCCGATGAAACTATCAGCCACCCAGACGATCGCATGGCCCGTCTGAATATTTAATGTGTAAATATGTAATTGTTTAACAGTTGTGTTTTCATGTGTTGAATTTGCTTTTATATTTGTAGCAATGTTTTGTCGTTTGATCACATTGCAAACCATCTATTGGCAAGATGGGTGGTATATAAAGAAAAAAAGAAATTAAATTAAATTAAATTAATCCCTCGTTCAAAGTTTCTTCCACATGTTGCAGCCATATATTCCTCCTCCTGTTTTTTTTTCTCTTTCTTTTGTTCCAGAACTGGCATATGATCTGGATATGGAGGACATTTCTTCCAACAAGCAGCTTCTGAATCAACAAAGCAAGGAGGCTCCAGCCGTTCAGACCCTCGGCTCAGGCGGCTGTCGGACCCGGAGCCTTGATCTCGTGCCTGCTGTCGTCACACTCTTTATCCTTCTGTTGGGTGAAGGATGGAGTCTCTCCTTCACCTGTCTCCCCAGCTCGAGCTGGTAACCCTTCGTCTTGTGAAGATTCCCCGCGGACCACCCGCCCCGCCTGCCACGGAGTGTGGAAGGAGTGGCTAACTATAAGTTCACGGCGGCTGTCGGACCCGGAGCCTTGATCTCGTGCCTGCTGTCGTCACACTCTTTATCCTTCTGTTGGGTGAAGGATGGAGTCTCTCCTTCACCTGTCTCCCCAGCTCGAGCTGGTAACCCTTCGTCTTGTGAAGATTCCCCGCGGACCACCCGCCCCGCCTGCCACGGAGTGTGGAAGGAGTGGCTAACTATAAGTTCACTTTTTAAAAACCACCTAAGACAAATCCCCCAAGGGACTTGGTTTTAGATTTAGCAGGCAGGAAGTTTTTTTAAAAAAGATAACTATAAGTTCACTTTTTAAAAACCACCTAAGACAAATCCCCAAGGGACTTGGTTTTAAATTTAGCAGGCAGGAAGTTTTTTTTTTTAAAAAAGAAATACCTGCTTGCATTCCCCGGTGAAGTTCAGGAATACTGGAAGTTTGAAACAAGCAAAACATATTTCATCTCGCGTTAATTGGCATGGGTAGAAATGACATCTAAATGGGATTAAACATCATTGACTATGTTTTTAAATATATGTTTTATGGTCCGTCCCCCGAACGGATTCTGAAATACTTGGAATTATCCAACGAGGTATGTAGTAGGAACAGGAGAGATTTAAAGAGCTGGCAATTTCCTCTTGGCAAAGCAAGCAAGCTCTGGGGGCTGTTCTGGAGCCCGGCACTATATTATTGATATCAGTTAGAAACCCAGCCAGACTGATCTCCTGTGGATTCCAGGAGAAGATTGTGGGTTGTGTGGATCAAAAAGCTGGAGGAAAAATGTATGCACCTCTTGCAAGGTTGCCTGTGAGGGCCGAGAGCCCATGTTCCCCGTAACAGGTGGGGTGGCGGAGAGTCAGACCTAAGACGACAGCTAGGTTGATGGGATGAAGGACAGAATAACTTTGGTGGAACGTGTGATGTTCTCTAGCTCCGGCAGACTGCTTTGAATCTTGTCCAGCAAATAACGAAGAGCGAGCATGTTGCTTTTAATAAATTTTTAAAATACAAAACAGTGCCGTGGCCTGTTTGTTTCTCTGCTAGCATGGGGTTTGCAGAGCTGCGTTTTAAGCCTGGGGAACTCTCAGCCATCACAGTAAAACCCATTGTGGCTGCTCTGGAGGTATATTCATTCCATTGGGTTTGTCATTCGCTTTAGGAATATGCTGAACTGAAAGCAGGGAGGGTTTAGAAGGTAAATAAGATCCCTGCATCTGTCATGGTGCGGTTGACTAGATTAATGGCGGCCTCCCATTTGGGAGGCGAAGGAGATTCTTGTTCACGGTTGGATTACATTTCCCTTCATCGCAGGATGGGAGCGATGGGAGATGTAGTCCCAGAGATCCGGAGGCCATGAGAATAAGACATTTATCTGAAAGCACAGCCTGTTCAAGAAGTTTGTGTCTAAGTTGTTGTGAGCCGCCCAGAGTAGACCATGTCTAGATGGGCGGCATATAAATGCAATAAATAAATAAATAAAATAAATAAGTGTGCCGCAAGAGAATGGCATCAACAAATGCCAGTCACACTGAGCCACCTTTCCTTTTCTCTTGCTGGTTTTTTTTCTGATGGGTTTTGCAAGCGGTTTAACTCTCCAGTACTGTATTTATTTATTTATTTATTTATTTATTTTAAAACTTGCGTTATGCTTGTTCTGCCCCAGTCGGAATTCCATGCTATGGACAATCAGAGTCAGCAGCATGATGAGGGTTGAGGCCAGTTTTATGCGTTGGGTTTCATGTGCGTCTCCGTGCGTTTCCGCTACTGATTGGAATCTTTCTCTTGAATCGAGGCAGGCTTCTGGAAAGCGGAGTGCGTCTCTTTTTATTTCCCGATCTCCTGGTTTCTAAGACATGGCATGGGATATTTTTGGTCCCAGTGGTTACATGAACTAGGTCAAAAAGTATCCTGGTTGAAAAAAATCTAGTAGATTTTTTTGTGGGGGGGCTGTTCTTTTTATGGAGTTTGCTTCTTGTTTTTTAAAACCGTGTGTGGCAAGCAGCTGAAACAGGTTAAAAGGTTGCAGAATGCGTTTTGCTCAGGGGTGAAGTTCTGTGCGGGCCTTGCTACAAACCTTATCTCTGAGTACAAAATGTTGTCACATGCAGTTCCGGTTGTGTGACAGAGAGAGAGAGAGAGAGAGAACTTGCTCTTCCCAGCCTTTTTAAAAAACCTTCTCCCTGAAACAGCCCCATGAGTACAAAATGTTGTCACATGCAGTTCCAGTTGTGTGACAGAGAGAGAGAGAAAAAGAACTTGCTCTTCCCAGCCTTTTAAAAAAAACCTTCTCCCTGGAACAGCCCCGTTCCTCTTCCATCTTTTTTGGCAAAGGATCCTGTAATTTATAACACTAAGAGCTCCTTAATTTCAAGGCCAGCCCCACCCGGAGCTGCTATAAGGAGTTGTGGGGTGGGGACAGAAGGGGAGAGAAAGGAATATCGGACGTTTTCCGGGGCGGTGGGAATCGCCTTGTTGACTTGCACGAACAGGGCGTGGACAGCTTTCCTCTGCAAAAACATTCTTCCCGGAACAGAAATGCTTGTTTGTGCCTGGCTGGGCCTCGTTCCCTCAAAGAAAAAAAGAGAGAAGTAAAACACTTGAGGAAGGAAAAACTGGAAGCATTCCTGTTCATAAAACTAGTCATTGAGCAGTCGTGCATGAATGTTGTTTGAGGTGTCAGGACTTGTTCGTCATCCTTCCCTCCACCACAGATGCCTTGCCGAGGGTTCTGTCCTGGAAAACACCTTTTTGACCATGGACGGTACCTGTTTACCAAATAATATCAGACAGACAAAAAGGTCTTGTTTTCTTCAGCATCCTACCCACAGCCGTCAATGGACACCTCCTGGAAACCCGTTCAGTAGGAACCAACCTCTGCTCCTCTGGTCTGCCTGCAGCTGTTCTTCACAGGTAGACTATGCCTGACTGTGGAGGCCCAGTACCTACAAACATTACGGGTAATAAGGATCATTCATAGGTTGCTTCTGCTCCATGAATCTGTGATTTTTGCCTCATCTTTTCGAAGTCCGTTGGGCTCCTGGCTGCTGCTCCCTCTTATAACGGTGGGTTTCTGTCTTGTGTGAAGAAACGGCTGTATTCCGTTTTGGAAAATTACCAAACTGTTTTAATCCTAACTGAAAAAAAGCTGTTGTTGATCTCCAAAGCTGCTCCGTGGCCCCCTTGTTTATCTGCGTGCTTTGCAGAGTGTGGCCATAACTGGCGGCTGTTTCGAAATTTCCTATTCTAATCCCTGAAACACTAACCTTTTCTGATTTCCGAATCACGACGATCCTTTCTTAATTTATTCATGAGGATCCTATCCGGGGGGTTGACTATTGTTTTTCAGCTTCGTTAAAGGCTACTCCTCTGGACCGAACTGGAAAAGATTAGCCTTTTTCTGTGTCCCCTCAAACAAATCGAACCGTTCTGTCTTCTCGATAAGCTGCGTTGAGGAGGCAACTTCCGTCAAGTTCATTTGGCAAAAGCGGAGAAGTAACTTGCTCCAGGGAACTAGGCCACGAGCGGCTCGTATTCCCAGCGAGGCCGTCTATGTCTCCCATGCAAGTTCTTGGAAATCTTTTCCATGCTGGGCATTTGGGTCCAGAGTTGCAATAATTTGTGTTTCAAAGCCGGAAAGCAGGTTGATTGAGCGGATGGGGCTACTGAGACGTGAAGGGCGGCCAGATTGGACGATGGGCTACGTCATGAAGCTGGTGCACACACACACACAAAAGAGAGAGTAAGCATAGTGTCACTTTGGACCAGCCACCGCAACATCTGTTAGCCTTCAAGCACTGAATCATTCAATGTGTGGCTGCCTCAGACGCAAGGCTTTGGGCACTGGGGGGGGTGAGTGGCTTCTCTGTTTATTACCCCCCTCCCTGTCACCACCTTCTGTTGTATTTTCTCTGTACTGCCTGCAAAGACTCTGTTGCATCTTGTTTCTGTTATGTAAGACCATAAACATACACAGTCTTGATGCAGAATTAAACAGGCACGAGAGTTCCCTGCCCTAAAGGAGTTTTCCCTTTTGGTACCAAGTGAATTGGTGGAAGTTGGAGCCACTGTCTTAGGTGTTCTTTGCCCGCATGCCAAGGGCACAAGAAGCTACTTTTAAAAAAGAACTTGTAACTTCAGAGCAGCCAGGTTGCTGTTGTTGTCGTCGTGGTGGCACTAACTGTGCAAGTAATTCATTGCATTGTGTTTTTAGAAGATGCATTTTCTTCACCAGCAGAAAAAAAATACTGCGTGGTTCCCTCTAGTGGCCAAATCTGCTATTACATCTTAGAACCGTTTTTTTAAAATGCAGAAGACAAACCAAAGGCTATGTCTTTTGTCACTCAATACTGATGACAGCCTGTCATAAAATCTCTTAAGGAAATTAATAAAAATTCTTCAATGGCCTTTAAAAGTAATTTAGCAAAATCATGAATAAAATCCCTCCACCCTCACTCCCAGCATCAGCTTATGTCTTGTAGATGTCATCATCTTTCCCTTCACTCTCTCCTCTGTCTCTTGCTTGCCTGCTTCTGGGTCCTTACGAATCCTTTTTAAAAGAAAAAAAAAAACATTGATTAGCTTAGACAGACTTATAGTTGGCGCAGATTACGACCCAGTTCCCAGAAACGCCAGGGGTTTGCCAATCCTTGGGCCTGTATTCCTTCAGTATCTGAATATATTAAAAGAAGGAAAGGAAAGGAAAGAAGAAAAAGCCCTGTGTGTTGTCAAGTGAGAAGAATAAATACTCAAAAACAAACCAGAGGAACTGTTTTAATTCTCCATGTGAAGGGGAATGACAGTTGTGTACATTCCAGCCCCCCAAAGAAGGGGTGGACGGGCACGGCCTTCTCTCTTGGTGAGAAACGAAATTTGTTGTTTATCTGAGAGGCAGCTGGCCCGCTTCGAACTCAGCCTAATCGTGTTTAGTATTCGGGGAGACGGTGCCTGTCGAGTTCCTGAACTCTGCTGAGGGGCGCCATAAAATAGCTTCATCTGGATTGCCTCT